TATACCCACAAAAAGACACTACATGAAAATCCAATCGCACGGTTCACGGTGGGGCAGAAGCTGCCAAATTTTGCTTAAAGTTACAGTTAAACATCAATCCCACACACATTTGTCTCTTCATCTGAGTATGTTGAGCTTCGAAAATTTTAACAAGAATATAGATATACCTACGAACGAAGTATTCAAAAATCACTTCTAGTCGATTATTTTCAAATTACTTCCGCACTTTTATGTTTTCGAAATGACTTTACACAGAACCGATATTCTCTGGATTGCAGAACAACTTTGCGAAGGTTTTCAAATTTTCAGGATTCCTTCACTTTGCAAGCCAGATTCATTGTAGCAACTCCTAACCTCCAGAAATTGGTCGATACGAATAACGAAAAAATCTCAGAAAATGTATGTGGCAGATCAATATAGATAGATTCGAAGAGAAGACGGTAGCTTTAGGGACAATTCGAACACACATTCGGGCAAATTACGCGTGGATTCACATGGATTAATATGGATCAATAAAACACAGCCACGGACTCCGACCCTCAACGTGATAAATTTATAACTGACAAACAGACAAACGAAAAATGGCGGACCACAGACCGCAGCGCAGTCAAGCGGGAGCTCTCACCACGCTGACTATACCAGTATGGTAAATTTAACCTACCAACACCATGACCAGTCGCATACAGATGCCTACAGATATCAAACGCAAGTGTTACCATGTTATTCCATACTTTTAACTCATCGTATGGTAAAAAATACCCAGCTGATGGTGAGAAATACCTAAACGATGGACAGACACACCTAACTGATATTTACAATCCGGGTATGGTAATTTTTATATCGAGTATGATTCTCACTTTCATCTAGATGCTTAAATCGACCATTATTTGGCTTTTTATCACCATATTTTTTTTTACTATACCATTATGGTCAATCCCACTTTCACTTTTTTTTCAGTGTGGAAGGACCGACAAAATTTGGCCCCAGGTTTTTCCATATTACGTGATAAGATTGTGAACTCTCCCATAAAAGAATTAATATTTTCGTTTTTTTACAGTTTATTCTCAAGACCTACCGGGTCGAAATTTATAATTTTTGGAGTTGTCGATAGGAGATACTTTCTAGATGAGCTCGTTTCATTTATACTAAGTTTTAGGAGCTCACGAAGCACCTTCGTGGGGTTGCACCGCGTAGCGGCCAGGGACCTCCTGGCCGTAGCCTCCTGGTTCTTTAGTAATCTTCCTGGTCCAATTCCTCAATGTTTTGCTTTTGAGGCATGTTTCAGGCGTAACCGTAGAGTCAAAATCTCCTTTGGTGCGTGAAGCATCTTAAGGTCGTCTCTACAAACTGATCAAGAAGATTTTTTAAACACAAAAATGTGGGGAATGCTATTTTTTGCTCCTATCAATTTTGACCCTTATTTGGACCGTGCCGAACAGAAAGGAATCAAGTCAATTTGGTCGCTGCCAAAATATATCAAACAATTTATTTTTGTTTTATGCAGAGGTACAGTTGCACGGTTTTTTCTGAAAACACGAAATTTGCGTCGCTTGTCACAGAGAAAATGCTCCGTTTTCAAAAGAATCTGCATTATCGTTCTCCCGTAAAAAAGTAAAGCATCCGATGCTTGTCATGTCGTGGTTTTTTTTCTGCTCAATCCAGCCCATGTGGTACTAAATATTACCTACGTCATATTTTTTTAAGTTAATCACCGTAAATTTTCAAAACGGATCTGATGGAAATGGAAGACGTTGCATTTTTGCCAGATGTAACACAACCGCCAAAAATTCCCGTTATAAACGATGATTTTTTTACTTAATTTGACAATACTATATCGGAGCGAAAGCTTTTGAAAATTCACCATTCAGCTGGTGCGTGCCACGTATTTACCTATGGATGGCCTCAATTCTGAAAAAAAAGAACCACCACAGTCTGGTCTGGTACGCACGCCACTTCACTGACATGTTTCTCGAGATTCACGTTTTATTGTGAATTGACGCACGGTTATTTTTTACTGCATGTCGTTTTTCAAGAATCCAATTGGAGCATGTTACTATTCTGCATCTTCGTGGCTCTAAATTGCTCCCCAAAATACGGTAAGAAATAAACATTTTTGATTTTATAATTATTGATGCTCTTCTTGTATTTTTTGTGTCCTCTTGTTTCTACTGGTAAGTATTTATTCTCACAAAACTTGGTTGAAAAGTTTTTAATACATTAAATATATTCTCGTTTAAACTTTGAGTTAATACTTTTCAAAGGAGAAAATAATTTGAAAATAATTGCATAGCGCTACAAACACAATACATTCGATACATATTATGTGCGAGAAGACACATACATAAAAGCAGTGGCGTGTCATGAATAATCGATTATCGATATCTCGCCATTTGAAGCTATGGTAAAGAATCGATTACTAAGGTGTCCGCTGCGAACACCCTGATAATCGATCTTTTTTCATAGGTTTAAATGCATAACAATCGATATATCGCAATTCACGCCACGCCACTGCATAAAAGCCGCTTCCGCAGCCCTGTCTGGCGTTCTGTGACACCTAGCCGCTCAAGTCACCTATCCCAGGGAGTTGGCACTCCCTTATGAACCCTTTTTCTCTACCCTTTTACCAGGTGTCCCCTTCGTATCCTCCCACGAAGAATCCAGTCAAACATCAATGAGGAGATATACTTAAATTTGAAGTTTCTCTAGCTAGACTTGAAAAACGAGTTTTTTGCATAAATATAATAGGCACGCCTATTTTACTCGCAATGCAAAATTCGCAACTTGCTTTGCACAGCAATATTTGTATTACAATTTGCGATTTTATACTGGTATCCTCATTGCTTTTTGTGATTAGCTTCTTGCAGAATTTACTGCTCTGTGATCTACAATCCCGTTATATGCCTATCCGCAATCAGGTGGTCATAATGTTTTTCGAATAATTTATTTGAGTTTCGACGATGAAACGGCAAAAGCGCGTATTCCGCTTGCGGTGTTTTGAAGTCTCCGCTTCTATTTTATTTTTTAAATGGAGACCAAACTAATTCCATGGTTTAAAGTTTTCACAGAACATTCTTCATATAAAGATGAAAAATCACTGAAATGTTTAAAAAATGACGTTCAGTAGTTTTCCATGTAAAAAACAAAATATGACGGGACGTCTGCAACGCCGCAAACTGAGATACGCATTTCTGCAGTTTCACCATCGGTTTTGAAACGCAATTTTGGTATTTGATGTATATGTGCCATTTTTCCGGGAAGCTCCTCAATCGGGTTTTTTTTTTTTATTCATGTAGAAACCCTCCTGAGTTTCGGCGAGAGAGAACTTTGAACAGAATGAGTAATCCGTGGAAAAAACCCAATGCAGCAACTGCTTCATTTTTTCTATAGAAAAATCAACTTACTTTACTTTTTAGATCCATGACGTAAACGCTCCAACACCCGTAATGTCACTGAATGAACATAAACATTTTCCGTTGAATTTTCCTCGAAATGATCATTTAGTTCATGTCCCGCCACCAGTAGATCCATATTTGGGTTGTATACATCGTTTGCACATTAAAATTATTCAAGGGAAATTCCTTCGTCGTTGAGAATAACGCGCAATTGGTACTTCTTATAAATACTCATGAGTGCACCCTAAAGTTAGTGCTCATGCACTAAAAGTAGACTTTCCATGTATTGGAACTAATGAATTCAGTGAAATTATTATATGTTCACAATTCAACTAAAAAAGCCCCAATCAATTGGCACCTCAAAGTAGTCACGCATCATGTTTGAGAACAAAGTCTATAAAACGTAATTATTCAATCCGAGAACGGCGCACTTCGAAAAATATTTGTGCTTTGTCTTTTACTTTCAGTCAATACAGGCCTACAAACTAACTTACTCAAAATCTGTGGTAAATTTTCATGATGGAGTTGATTTTTGCAGAAAAATCGAGGGAGAGGCAAAGATTAACAGGAATTTTCTGTGAGCCCCACCTCATTCGAATCTTTAAATTATTCGTAATTATTTTCCTGGTGTTATAAATGTCATGAATAAAAATTTTGATTTTGAGAAAATTATCAGGAGGAGAAAATATTTATTATCTTTTTAGGTAGCTTGTTATTTCTGCAAAATTAGGTGACCCTGCTCTACGCGAAAAAGTACCTTGGTTCACAACATTTTAGATTGAGCCGGCGACCAGCTATATCAGAGCTGCGAATCGATTGTTGAATGTTTATCGAATAACCTGAATCGATAAATTGCGTTGCTAAGATAGGAATTTATCGATCACAGTCATTCAATAACGAATCGATATATAACCTGAATCGATAAATTTCGTTGCTAAAATAATTCAATAACGAGTTAACAATCCAGGCAAAGGTATTCTTCGAACTTATGGGCACGATAACAATCCGAGAATATTGCACCAAACCATGGTTACATCGGTTCAAACCCGTGGTTTTGAGAAAAAGAGTATTAAAAATTAAAATCTGCAATGTTCAAGGTACACAACTGCTGGACTTGGGTGCAATTTAATGCTCTGTATTCGCATTTTGATAAACTATGACAATCACAACTTTTTTAGGGCGTGAAAGAGATTTTTCTGTCGGAATCTCAAAATCCGTTTTTTTCCCCACTCAAATTGAATACAATACCTAAATTCGTCCAATGAATTAAACGACTCACAATTTACTGTAAGAAACTAGCGACTTTTCTGTTGAAATCTCTAAATCAGATTTTTTGACCTGACTCGACAAACATTTCTTTTTGGAAACCAAACAAATCGCCTGTCATTTTGAAATAAATTAAGACAAGTCGTAACGAAGTAAGATTACTGGAAAGTGATATCAGATCAAATTTGTTAACTTGAGTTTTAAACATTAACCTTTAAAAACCGTTCTTAAACCTTTTTAAAAATCAATTAATTTTAGTAAGTTGATAAATTACAGATTTATTTAAAAATAATATTAATTTGTCAATTGAAGTTAGAATTTTTTAGAGTTAGAGTTTTTTTTTTTGGTTTTCTCTGTAAACCAAGGTCTTTTACCCGCGGACAGTCACATGCATTGATATTCTATGATCTCGAAGCTTCCTTTTCTGCTTCTGTTTTGCAGGAGCACGGGCAAATTTGACATTGGCAGCGGTCGCTCTTCTATGTATGATCGGGCCTAGCAGTCAGATGAAAAAAACGGTCAGTCAAGTAGTGAGAAACGAGGACGGTGAGACGCAGGACTGCGGATTCACCGCACTAAACACCGGGCTGAAAACCTTAAAAGAAAGGCTCTGGCTCGGGGGGAAGCAGGAAAAAATCATCCCGATCGAAAAACCGTTTGATCAGTGCTGGAAGAAGCTTAATCTATACGACTCGAAGACGAAGTTCAAGAAAGGTGACCTCCTCGTCTCGCCGCACGGACGACTCATGCTCGCCATCGGCAAGACGCACTACGTGAGACTCCCGTGGAGCTATTCGTTTTGGCAGAGCTACACTTGGCTCATCGAACTCGAGATCCCGATCAAGAAAGAGAAGGACGGCAAGGAAAGTTTCGTCTGGAAGATGTTGGACCCGCCCCAGGAGTACAATCCGAATCGAGCTGTGGCGCTGGCCAAACTCCTTCTGGGCAAGAGGCTCCCTTTCTACTACTGCACCTGCCACGATTTCCACTGGATGGATTACATATGCTACGACAAGGTCCAGAAAAACGCCCTTAATTACAGGTAAATAATGTAATAATCGTAATATTGCATCGCTACCGTTTTTTTTTTTTTTTAATTTCACTACTTCAAATACCACACAAGTGGTAATCCTGCGCTTCCACTTAGAGCCCCACGACCTCCGTCCTTACTAACTACCAGCCCGAGGCAACCGTTGTTTGAGACCGTCAAACTCGGGTCGCCTATAGTCGGGAATCGAACCCGGACCTCTTGAGAGCCAGCGCTACAACCTTACACCATAGGAGGCCGCGCCAAGGAAAAACGCCGTTTGAACCTTTAGGCGTTGTCAAATTTTCTTTGCTGAAACATAAATCCTGGTGAACTTATGAAGATTTTTCTTCCAATGTCTCAGGTAATTTTTTTCGTAGTTTCACCAAAAATTCCTGAAAATCGCAAGGAAAAAGATTAATAACTTTCCTCCAAAATGAATATTTCATCGAAGGGAACTTGGCAACTCTCGAATGTTCATACGGCGTTCTTCCTTAGCACGATAGATCGACACTTGGATCGCTTATAGCAAAAAGGAACCAACGTGATAACGGTATTGAAGAAAGGTTGCTTCTTAATAATTATTTTAAAAAAATCCACAGATTAGCATAAGGTTTTGGCTTTCCACCGCAGAATTGTTAATTTTAAAGGAAAATAATATTGTAAAAGGGTATTTCGGGCAACTTCGTTGAATAATTTCTCCGTGCAAAAATAAAATGGCGGCGGTAATTTTTAAACGTCGCATGACGCTTGTGATACTTTGGATGGGAGGTGATGACATGATATTCTCATATAACAGATAGGCAAATCTGACTTATTTTTGCTAAACTGAACTAGAAATGTGTGGGAAAATTGCTTGTGGTGAGCTGCATAAGAAACAATGTAAAAGTGGGTGTGAGCTGCATAAGAAACAATGTAAACGTGGGTGTGATTTCTTTTCGGGGAAATGGAAAAGCGGGATTCTACCTGCATTAAGTCAAACGGAACTAAGCGCCAACTGTATGCTAACTCATGAGCCGTGGGCATGTGACAAGAACGTTGTAAACAGGGCTCTAATGAGCCCGTGCCTGTCGTCATGTTACCACTGACGTCACTGGTGCTTTATAATTCCCATTCATTCTTACGGTCCGAGAACTGAGGAGCACACTCCTTCTTTCCCACCTGTCTCTGGTTCCGTTCAGCAGAAATACGTTACATGAAAGCAATTTTCAAGAAATTATGTTGACTAGTTTTTCAAAGGAAAAATAAAATATGATTGGAAATCTACAATGTCGGTAACGGGGATGCGTAGTTTTGCACCTTGGCTATCGATATGAAATTGTTGCCGTCAAAATCAAAATGATCAATCAAAAATAATTTGTATCACAGGTGCCCATTGGCTCGGTCTTTGAATGGCGTGAGAATTGACAAGGACCTTTACCTGGAGAATGCCCTCGGTAGACGTACATATGTGGATGGATTAGCTACAGTGACTCTGGACGAGAATTATGAACCGCTGCCCGAAGACCAACAACCGGTAAAACCAAAAAGAGGAGGCCTGGCTCGCTTTGCGTCATCGAAAAATAATGGCGCGAAAACTGGAGCCAATGTGGAAAGATCGAAATCAATGCTGGGAAATAAAGGCTTTGAATCTCCAGGCTCCATGAAAGATTAAGGGAACTGAGCTAGGGCATGTTTCAAAGCTATGCGAAAATTATTTTTTAAAGTTATGTTCATATTGTAAGTAGCGGCTCAAAAAATATTTTGCGATGGCGATGGCTCTCCTTTCCGTTTCTAGTTCAATTGAGTACCATTTGAGTAAACCATTTCGTCGGAAAACCGATAAGAACCTTTTCCACCAAACAGCGTAGCGCTGGCAAAAGTGCGAAACCACATTTCTCGGTTTCAGGATATTCCGTCAACGATTTTTCGTCCGCACATCTAATCTGTCCAGTGCTTTACGTCTACGCGTTAAATAAGTAACAGTGACTTGGTTCAAGCGTCATATTTTAGTCCGTATGTAAAATTATATTGACGATATCGGAATGAGAAAATGAAGAGAGAAGGAGGTGCTGTTATGATAACTCATTTTTTAGACGAAATGTTACTTTCTCCTTTTGATTCATCTTTTCAAATTGTCATCGGTCATAAAATTGTTGAAATAACATTTACCTATTATAAACTTATTAATGAAAATATTTCTTCATTTTATAAGAATTTACATTTTTAAAACATGGCAAATATTTTTACAACCTATTCCAAGCGATGTCATCGATATTAATCTCAATTTGTAATCTATCAATTGCATCTCAATTTGCAATCAAAATATAACATAAAATTGTTGATAAAAATATACCTAATATATACTTCTTTTTAATGAGAATATTACTTCATATTAAACAAATTATATTTTTAAAACGCTGCAAATATTTGTACAACATTTTCCAAACGATGCTATCGATATTAATCTTAATGAGTCGCAGAGGCGAATACAGCAGTTCGGCAACACCGAATTTCTTCAATTTAAACCTATGCTAAATGATCGATTCTTGTTGGAGAACCTGGCCCCTCCAAGAATCGATAAATTTCCATAGGTTTAAATAGAGAAAAGACAATGTTGCCACTTTGTTTGATTTTCCAATGATGAGCCGTGATTGTGTTAAAAGAAACTATACAAAATTGAATAAAAGGGGGAAACACCAAGAAGCACGAAATCTTTGGTTTTTACCCATTTGTACATCGATTTTTTAGAGTCAAATACTTCCAATTTTGAACGTTCAGTTGCGCGTATGCCACGCTGCAGCACAGTACAGGCACAAAATATAAAAGAAAAAATTAAAGGGCTTAGGAAATCATAAAAGTTGACACGGAATTACCTTCATATTTACAAAACACACATTATATTTTCCTTTAATACGTACAATTTTCCATCAATTTAAATGATATTAATCCATGCAGAGTGTGGAAACATTTCAAAATCATGAGTTGAAAAACACTGACTCCGCGAGTTTAAATATTAGAGCCTAACACAGTGGAGCAGTGTGCTCCCAGCGCGGAGCGCGCACTGGCGCCTACAAACCTAACAGGGATACTTCACGCATTGCGCAATGCGTGAAGTATCCCTGTTAGGTTTGTAGGCGCCTATGCGCGTGTCATGCTGGTTTCCCGCCGCTCCGGGAAGTGCCACGGCGCCTCAAGCAACTATTTCACAACAGAGGTGTTGCACAGTATCATACGAAATTGAAGGCGCTCTAACATATTACGAGTAAGAATGACAGGTATCCTTTAAGAGTACGGAGCTTTCATCGCAATAGAAATCAAGATACTACAGCACAAAAAGAGAGCGGTATCCCAAAAACTCACTAAGTCGTGTGTTAGAAGGGTGGTTGCCGTTTTGGGTCCTAGGAGCTCCATATTTCGACCGGTACGTATACTCTCCCCATGTAGGTACTCTACGCACATCGTGCATTGTGCAGTGGAATAATTTAGACATTTCTGATATACTGAACGTGATTTTCGTTCAATTTTGCCCGCATAAAGTCTGCTCGGTTGGCCCGCGTCTCTTCCGTGCGCAACAGACCCATTTCAACGAAATTGGCGCACCCTAGTTTTTATTCGAATCGGGTTCGCCTTGCGATGGCGTGAGTACCCAATAAAAAGAAATGCGAACTGAATATTGATACTCCTGAGGTGTTTTCGCAAGTTTTCTCGATCTTCGGAGGTGAGGAGGGGTGGGAGGCGGCCGCGCGGATGGGAGCATGCAAAAAGCGAAGGGAGGAAACGGAGGGGGC